TTGATAAAGAGCAGGGGGCAGTTTGCTGCCCACAGGCACCCATGTTTCCCACACCTCCCAGCAGCTGGGGGACAAACCTCGTTCCCCAGCTCTGGAGCCTTTGCCTCCCACAGAGCCGGAATCACGCTAGGCTGGATGCCTTTCTTTCCCTTTCAGCCCTGGTGGACTGCAGAGCAGAGGGGGAAAAGGCAAAAATCCCGATTTTTATTTCTTTTTTGTGTGGCATTTTTCAGCACCTGACGACAAAGGACTGGTACAGAACTGGACAGTGTCACCTGGACAGCATCAGCATGGTTGCAGCATGGTTGCAACATGCACCCTGCAGCATACGGACAGGGCTCGCTCTGCAAACACACAAGCCTCATCAGATTTTCCCAAGGGCACATCCCCAGTGCAGGAATGAGCCCAGAAGCCAGGATGACAGCCAGCCTTCCTTCTCATGCCTCCTCCCAGCACCAAGCAGGCCCTTTCTCCCTGCAGACATCGCGGCTGAGCTCTGCTGCAAGCGCGCGCCAGCCAAAGGGGCTGGCGGCCGCTGGCAGCCGCTTCCAGCGATTCCACCCTGGAGCTTGTGGCTGGGCTTTAGATCTGCTAAGCCTGCTTCAAACTTTGCACTGGGAGAAGTGATTTGTCTGCAAATGTTATGTGGTTAAAATAAATGCAGAGAATTTTAATCCTGGGAATTTGGAAAGTAGGAGATTTAAAATAACAAAACCCTTTCATATGGCACTTAATCCAAAATTAGCTGGGTTTTAAGTTTTACAGCAGTAGCTGATCATTCCTCGGCCACCTCCTGCTCGGCGTGGGAAGGGGGGGCTCCCCAGATTCCCGGAGCAGGGGGCAGTGGGGGCTGCAGGATGGGTTCTCCAGGCCCTGTGAGCCTCGCAGTGCCAGGGCGGTGCCGGGGTAGTGACGGCACTCTTTTTTTTGTTGACGTGGAATGGATCTCCCACAGCTACTTAAGGTTTTAATTGCCCTGTGATTAAAGTTTTCATTACTAAGCAATTAGCACCTGAAATTTTAAGTGCTGAAGTGTTTAACTGCATCCTGAAGCTGCCAGAGGTGAGGGGTGGTGGATTGTGGGTGGGATGGGAGAAGGTTTTGATGTAGGGACCATGAGCAGCAGAAGGTGGCTTCCTTGCTGGGCCCAACCGGGCTGGCACGGGTGCTGCCGGCCGCCCCGACCCGCTGGCAGTGCCAGAATTCTGGCAGCACAGGGAGGAGCTCCCGGAGGGGCAAGCGCCCAGGAAGCCTGGGAAGGAGACAGGCTGGAGCCAGCGCTGGTCTGGCGGGGAACACACCGGCTGGGCGAGCTGGCACCCGGCAGCGCTCCCTGCCCTGAGAACAGGGACAAACAGGGCTCCCCTTGCACAGGGGGTGGCACAAGGGGGACCCCCAGCAGCTGCATGGCTGACCCAGGTGCCTGCTCAGATGTCACCCCTCCGAGTGCAGCCCTTTGGACAAAGGACTTGGACATGTCACTTGATGCTGTGATGGCCCCTGCTAAAATGGTATCCAGCCCAGAAACGTGGGGAAATCCCCACCCAGCTTCCCCCATCCCCAGCACAGCTGTGCTCCAGGTGAGCAGACAACAGAGGCCTCTTGCAGGGCTTTTTCTTGCATTCATCCAGTTCCACCCTTCAAACACACATCCCCATACTTACGTTGTGGCAATGAACTCCTGGGACTGGCTGCTTGGTGAGGAATATACTCCCTTCTGTTTGTTTTTAGACTCTTGCTGGGTAATTTCATTTGATGCCCCTTAGATCTTCTGAGAAAATACGAATAATTGTTCCCTCATCACCTTTCCTTGTGAAGCTGCAGCCGAGGTTGCCGCATGCAGAGGAGGTGAGGGGAGGTGGCTGGGGGTGCGTGGGTGCACCCATGGTGTGACACACAGCGTGCGTGTGCCTGTGTGACATGGACCCGCCACCGGAGCACATCAGGACCCTGTTTGGAAATGGGGAGTGAAAGTCAGGCTTGCTCCAGAAGGATGCAGTCTCTGAGTGAGACATTTCTTTCGGAGAGAGGGCCGGGCTGGGAGGTTTGTCCTCTGAACCTTCCACGGCCGTTGATGCTTTTCGAGGTTTTCCTTTCATGTCTGCCACTCCCTGTCTGCACAGGAATGCCTCCCAGGGACACCGTGGGCACCGCAGCTTTGCCGTGCAGGCTGGAGGCCATTCTAAGGCAGAGCATCACTAACTCAGGTCGGTGCTGCAGACAAACTCCCCTGCCTATCCCACAGCCTCGCGTTCCATCTCTCGACCCATTCCTGTCCACGTCTTGCCAACAGTGTGCTCTTTGCAGCCCTGCTCAGCTCCAGCCGTCACCCCAAGGTGCCAGGGAGAGGTTCAGGGCTGGCGTGCGTGCAGGGACATTGTGTGGCTGGGAGCTGTCCGTGTTTACACAGAAATGCCTATCCCCCAGCCACGCCATCACCCTCGGGGGCCACAGCAGCGCCATCCCCAGCACCGAGTCCGTGCCCAAGCAGGCGGGTTGGCACTAAACACCCAGCCCCTGCCAGCAAATACCACGCAGTTACCACAGTTATTTGGTATTGTGCAGGCGTCGGAGCCCTGCCAGCGCTGCTCCCCGGGCTGCCCACCAGCTGCAGCACACAGGCAGCGACCAGGGCTCCCTGGCCAGCCAGCTGCCCTGAAATCCTCAGCCCCCCAGCCGGGCCCGCGGCACCGGGCAGCCTGAGGCCCAGGGAGAGGCCGGCTGGCAGCCCCAGCCCAGTGGGAGCAAGCAGGGGCTCATTAATTACAGCACGTGGGGAGCGAGGCGATTGTATGGAGCATCCTCCCCCAGCCCGCGCACCCCCGCTGCCTGCTCCAATTTCTCATCCTATTCTGAAATAAATTCCTTTCGGGCTGAAATTTGCCAGGCATGGCTTGGCTCCAAGGGGAATTCTTGGAGAAAGTTTAAGTAAAATTGGTTCAGCCATTTTTGAGTTATTCAAGTGTGAATAAGCAATTTCCCCATGTGCTCCGTTCAGAAATTTTGTGCTTGGGTAACTCAGACCTCTGGAATTGCAGAATAAACAAGGTTTCTGCATCTCACTAAGCCGGCAGGGAGGGGATTTCCCGAGAGTGACTTCACAGGGAGACAGTAAATTTTCCCACCCTGAGCCTGGCCTTTGGTTAAGATTCTCAGCATCTCCATCAGTCTCTAGCCCTCTCCTTCCCCGCTGATGCTGCATTATATCCCCGTGCATGTGTTAATGATGCCAGCTTCATCACTCGTTTCTCTGCTGCTTATCTCCTTGAGTGACAGCATGTCCAAACCAACGACTTCTGCTTCTTTGCTCCAACTTTGGCCTTTCCCACTAGTGCAATCCCCTTACTGGTGCTTTGCTCCCCAGCACTGCCCTTTACCTGGAGAGAGCAGTGCCCACCTGCTGCATCTCCTGTCCCTCACAGAGATTTATCACAGTTACATGTTCTGTCTTAAATCAGCACCCCAGCTCACTTGGGCATGACTTTTCCTTCAGGAACCATGCCCAGTGGTGCTGGGGCACTGTGGCAATCCCCAGGGCACAGCATTCCAGTGAGACTCCCCACAGCTCCCAGAGGATGCCAGCATTCCTGCAGTAGGAGTCTGTCATCTCCAAACTTTCAGCTGCCCAGGCAGAGCTCTGTGCCAGCCTCTCTGGCCAGGACCTGGGAAGCCAAATCCTTCCAGGACATGGAAGGAAAATGCCCATCCACAGCCCTGGTGGGAGAGTGCAGCAGAAGGCAGAGGGGGTATGGATGTGCTCTGTGTCTGTCCTCACAGAGGAGAGGTCAAGCACAGCCAAATTCCTGCTCCTGCCAGCAGCCACAGGGAACATGGCCGGGAGTGTGGTCCTGCAGCCTGCCCGCTGTGTCAGTGCAGGGCCAGGGCTGGGGCTGCACAGCAGGGGAGTTTCTGGGGCAGGTTTCTGGGGCAGGAGTGCTGTGGGGAGGTGCCATGGCAGATGGCAGGTGTCTGCGGGGACAGCCCAGATGGCTCTGCCAGGGGGATGAGGCTGCCCAGGGTGAAGAAACCACCCATGCACCCCACTGCCCCTGGACCTGCTGGAGCTCCAGCCATTCCCAGGGACCAGGGGCATCAGCATTCCCCAACACCAGGACGGAGGGGAAAGAAGACTGAGGCACCCACAGGCTTGCAAGCTGTGGCTGCATGCATGGTAACCAGCACCTTCTCCCACCAGGAATGTGATAGGCAAGACACCTTGTGGGCTGGGGTAGGGGTCCTGGGAGAGGTCACTTCAGGGCGCTGTCTGCGTGGTTTCAGCTTAGCCACCATCACAGCATCCATCCCTGTCTGTGTGGTGGGAATCGTGGTGCAGGTGGTGTGGGGAGGCTTATGACACAACAAGATGGGATGAGTGAAGTAGAGTGGGATGTATGGAATGAGCTGAGGGAGAATGGGATGAGACAGGTTGGCCAAGGGTGGGATGCATGAGAGACGGGGATGGGACAGTAGAGAATGGGATGGCAATGGGTGGCACAGGTTAACCAGGCTGCCAGTAGTGTGGCACAGAGGGGCCCACATCGCACACGCTACCAGGCTCACGCACTCACGGTGCTCGGAGGGGCAGGGGACAGGGCAGAGCGGGCCGGGGATCTGGGTCTGCGGGGCAGGCCGGGGGTCTGCGGGGCGGGTCGGGGGTCTGCGGGGCAGGCCGGGGGTCTGCGGGCAGGCCGGGAGCGCGGCCCCTTTAAGAGCCCAGTTCCGCGGGCGGCCGCTGGGTGGGGCGCGCTCCCCGCCCTGCGCCTCCCGCGCCAGGGGGCGGGGCCACGGGGGGCGCGCCGGGCAGTGCCCGCCCCCTCCGATTCATCTTTCCGAGGAGGCTCCGCCCCCCTCCGCGGCGCGGCCCAATCGGCGCCGCGCTCGCCGTCGCCAGGGGCGCCGGGTTGCCAGGGGCGGGGTGATTGGCGGGCGGGCCCCGCCCCGCTCGGCTC